ACCCTGCTGTAGGTAGGCTTAGGCTGCGGACCCATACCCCTTGAGTGTGGCCTGAAGCTGGGTGCATTGTGAAGCCTTCGATGGATAAAGTGCCGCAGCTTTTCCGGCTGAACTGCGCTTCTGCGTATGATGGTCACCGCACTTCCGAGTAAAGCAATCCTCAGCGGACAAAAAGAGATTTGAGTTCTGAACCTTCTCAAAAGCTAAAAAGACTCCAGGCCTGTGACATCTCCTTGCCACCATTGTTTGGCAGCAAGGAGAAGAGTAGAGCCACATTTGCCAGATGTGGGTGTGCACGGGTCCACATATGGAACCAGCAAAAGTAGACACCCAAACCTAAGGGGTATGTAGAGTTCCGCATCTCACAAGGCGAGGAATTTCCACATACCCCTAAGCGGGTGCAAGGTTGTCAGGCTGCCTTTAGGCCTGCTGGTCAAGGGGGGTCGGACTGGCGGGAAGTGCTCTCCTTTCAGATTTCCCTCATTTGTGAGCGGTCTTGCATTTCGGGGTGCTCCAGACGGCACTGGACTCTTCAGATTGCTGCAGTCTGCACGAACTACCATTTCAAGTCCAACTTAAGGGGTATGCACGGTATGGCAGAAAAGTCCTGGACAGCTGCAAAAAACATGTGCAAAAAGTGCATGTGCTGCATGTGTTGTATGCCGGGCTAGGCTGGCCTCACCAAGAGGGCCCCAGTTGCGATGCAAACTTGGCGTAGCCTGGGTGCAATCTGGAGTCCAGCATCGCGCAAGGCTACAGCCCAAGTCAGCTTCCTCATCTTGCTTACCAGAGACCTTCGATTTTGCCCACGGGCCTGTTGAGTTGCTGTCCGAAGAGGACGTGCTGTGGCATGAAGGCCGTTGCGTCACGGGTTTCGGGAGGTGGTGCCTCAGGGTATGACTTATTTCGTTTACGCCGGACGTGTATCCTGAAGACACGATAGCTCAATTGGGAGAGCGTCAGACTGAAGAGCGAAGAAGGTCCCCAGCTTCCTGGGTCTCATGCGGATGAGCGCCGTAAGGGCTGGTCAACCTTGGGTGCAGCGAGGGCTTACGAGACAACGACGTCCGCAAGGTTTCGATTTTGCCCATGGACCTGCTCAGATGCTGTTCAAAGACGACGTGCTGTGGAATGAAGGCCATTGCATCACGGGTTTCGTCAGGCATTCTCCGGCACTCCACTGTGTGCTCAAGGTGGCCAAGGAACGGTGAGCTGTGAAGGGCGCGGTTGCATTTCGAGCGGCAGAGATTTCGGCATGCCACCGCGGCATCGTCTAGTGAGTCAAGCGTTGCAACCAGGTTGTTTGCCCAATCTCAGCTTCGTGTTGCCTGCATGCCAAGTTCCAGCAGGTGTGCCTCTGAAACACCGTTGCCTCCTTGCTGGACGCTCCAGCTCAACAGTGCCCGTTCGTGGCAAAGTGCAGAAGGATGGCAAGACATGTTGAGCCTGTGCTACTTCCAAGTGCCATGTGGTACAGCGGATGTTGCTCTCTGAAGGTGAAGGGCAACATGCTACCAGTTCGCAAGCTGCAGTCCATTCTGGAAGCTGCCAGCTGCAGGGCATGCGAGCTCTGCGCCTCGGCGCAGTCTACGAGTCTCCGCAGACGGCCTGCAGAAGGACATCCTCAAGCACAACTCTGCTACTACGAAACTTTACCACAGGTGAGACTTCTTGGGCACATGCCCTTGCTTCTGAACAGCTTGCGGGCTTTAACCGGTACATATTTAGATTTGTACACCATGCACCTGAAGCAAAGCACACTCTCCATCACACCATCGCGCGTGCAGGGTTCAGTGTTAGGTCTTAGGTTTAGGCGTTAGGGTTTGGGAGCGTGCAGAGGTGCCGGCCTGCGTGTGAAACAGGTTCGTGTCGCACCTAAAAAAGCTATGCCCTGCATCCCAGACCCTTGGCAGGCGGGGTAGAAGATGCTTTGACAGCTGCGGATCGAAACTCCCGAAAACCCACAACTTTCATCCCAGGCTTGCCATCATTCGGAATTGTTGTTGGCTTCAAAGTATGGGCCTCGACCCGTCGCAGTGCCTGCAATGAGCTTCGGCCAAGGCCGTACAGCTGCGGATCGAAACTCTCGACAACCCTCTCGTCACGGGTTTCGGGAGGTGGTGCCTCAGGGTATGACTTGTTTCGTTTACGCCGACGTGTATCCTGAAGACACGATAGCTCAATTGGGAGAGCGTCAGACTGAAGAGCGAAGGTCCCCAGCTTCCTGGGTCTCATGCGGATGAGCGCCGTAAGGGCTGGTCAACCTTGGGTGCAGCGAGGGCTTACGAGACCACGACGCCCGCAAGGTTTCGATTTTGCCCATGGACCTGCTCAGATGCTGTTCAAAGACGACGTGCTGTGGAATGAAGGCCATTGCATCACGGGTTTCGTCCTTTCTCCCGGGCTGTTCGCCCCCCTGTCCGGTCTCGAACTCGGCCGGCTGGGCTTGGGCATCTTTCGCCTGCTATGTGCCGCAAGGTCCGCGCAGACAACCTTTTGAATCAGTGGCTCCTCCGTTGCTGTGACCTCGCTCTTGAGAGCGCCGCCGCCTACTCTGTGGAAGCTGCTGACTGTGCTTACTTCTGGCAGATGCCTGGCTGGCACCCCGAGAGCCAACCCGGCTCCCCCGCTACCTTCAGAGCTGATTTGTGCCAATTCCGGTGCTTGTGGAGGAAACGCATTCAAGGTGCGGCACCTCCGCCTTCAACGCACCGCCTGCCTTGGACTGCCGTCGCTGAGCACTACCCTGCTGGTTTCTCTGACGTGGTGGCCCTCGGCCTTTGTTCCCACGCTGGTTGGACTTACGCCAGACCAACGGCGTCGTGTCAGTGAAGCCAAAAACCCTGGGCCTCGCCGTCGCGCCGGGCAGCCCCGCAACCTTCGCGTCGATGGCGACCTCGAAAGTCAGCCTCTTCAGTCCGCTTCCTTGCTCTTTTTGGGCACCTCGGCCTGGACTTCCTTTCTCGGCTGGGTCTCCCTCTTCCTGTCTGTCGATCCCCTCGGTCTGTTCGCGTCCTGTCCAGTCCTTGCAGCTATGGCCCTCCGCGCTTACAGCAACCACTTGTACTGCTCAGGAGGAACCAAGCACACCTTTCGGCTCACTTTGGTTGGAGCTCAACGCGAACTTCCACTACTGAAGGGATCGCTGGCTCCAGCTTGGGAACTGCTCTCGAGATGGGAAGCTGTGGTTCGTGCACCGGACCCCGCTGCCTGAACCGCTGCTCAAAGCGATGGTCACGCTGAGCTGGCTCAAAGGTTTCAGGCGTTGGGCGGCATGCTCGCTCCTGGCGTTTTACGGCATGGCCCATGTTGGCGAGCGGCGAGAGCCAAGACTTCGCTCAGGGGAAGGCCGAAAGTACAGCACATTCGGGTGGACAACGAGGATGCCATCGCCCTGATCGTCATCGCTTTTGGCGGTCTTGGACGGGATGAACGCTTGTTTCCTCTGAGCTCTTCTGCCTACCGCTCAGGCTGGGATAAATGTCTGAAGACCCTGGGCCTGGAGGGCCTGATTCTCCGGCACTCCACTGTGTGCTCAAGGTGGCCAAGGAACGGTGAGCTGTGAAGGGCGCGGTTGCATTTCGAGCGGCAAAGATTTCGGCATGCCACCGTCTGCCAATCGCCCAGGACGTCCTCGAGGGAGATCGGTTCGGCAACCTGGGCTGGGAACACCCCGTAGGGCGGTGCAAACCCCACCGCCGGAAGACCCTTGACCAGCCCATGCACGTAGGTCACGTCCCCCCAACTGGTGAGGATGATGAGCAAGGCTGTGAGGCCGAGGTCGCGCTGGTGCGTGGCACGCCGCAGCGCCTGTGGCTGCCTGGCTCGCAGTCGCGCACTAGTGAGTCAAGCGTTGCAACCGGGTTGTTTGCCCAATCTCAGCTTCGTGTTGCCTGCATGCCAAGTTCCAGATGACTTTAAAGCTATATGGGCCTCGACCCGTCGTAGTTCCCGCAATGAACTTGGGCTAAGGTCAAGTGCAAGGCTTTAAGAGCTTGCGCTTTTGCAAGCGCATAGCTTCGATTCGTGTGCGTGCCGGGCTTGGCCTGTAAGAAGTACTGACAGCGAATGCACTGTCAGTCTTCTGAGCTTGTGCAGACAGGATGTAGCATCTCTTGCGCGAGGCGAGGCCGGTACGGCAGCTCCGGACCGAGCGGTTTTGTGAGGATCCACCCGTCGCCTGAGCGGTTCCTCTGCGGTCCCTTTTGGTTGAGTGTACACAGGCTTGCCTGCTTTCCTCTCCTTCCCTTACGTCCCCCCGCTTGCCTGTTCCGGCTCACACGCAGTCTGCGCACCGGGAGGGAGCTTAGAGATGTGGAAGGGATTGGAGCTTCCGTTCTTCTGAGGCCTTAGCGTTGTGTTTGTTCGGCGCCACCCTCAGAAGTAGGTGTTGGCTCCCGTTCTGAGGCACAGGAGTGTCTTGTCCAGTTCTTCAGAGCACGGCTCCTGTTGAGAGGCCGATGGTGCAGTTCTTGCGCTTTAGACCTCAACCTCTGTGTAGTGAAGTCTTTCATCAGCTGATCCAATTCAAGGGATTAGAGATGACCCGCAACCCTAAACCCCAAACCCTAACCCCTAGCGGCCTTTGGCCTCAAAGGCCTTGCAGCCATGTGGCCACCGTGCTTTGGCTTCGGAAGGCCGAGTCATAATGAAGGAATGAATGATTGATGAATGAACAGGATGTAGCATGTGATGGAGCACTGGATGTGCTTGGACGCAGATTTTCAAGAGGTGCTGGATGTTGTCTGGCTTGTTCGCGCCGGCCCTGTTGGGAGCAGATTCAACAAGCGCACAAATGGACACACCTGTCCCCATCAAGCATGGCGGTGCTCCTGAATCGAGCACGCTCGGCATCATACACGTTTCAGGAAAATGCCAACGGCCAACCAGAGTGACAAAAAGTCTTTCTGCTTACCTTATGCTAGGGCCCTGTTCACACCATGCTGCCTAGACCCGAAACCCCACCTGCTGCTTGGGATTTATAGCTGGCAGTGCCTGCGACCAACAGACTCATACCAGGCTGCGGAGCCAAGTCCCTGGCAGAGGGGATCACTGCAGGAGCTGAGGCTGTGCTACGTCTGCTACGTGGGCGGAAAGCAGCGGATGTTGGTGCAGAACTGGGCAGATTAGGATTGCACTACGGTCTAATCCAGGCTCTTCCGCTGTAGTGACCTACTCGAATTGTCGGGCACAAGGCTTACCGCATGCATGCAAAGCGCACATGTAGGAACGGCAAACCACGCCTGAGACATGCATGCATGTTGCATAACCCTGAATGGTGTAGGCTCGAGAAGGCTAGCCTCTTAATAAGAGCTGGATGTACTACCCAATGAAAACTGCATGAGAATGGAAAAGATCGAAAACCTGTGCAAATTACATGAAAACCAGAGTATACCTTTCCGCGACAGCGAGAGTTGCGTCCGCAGCTGACTGCACGGAGAAGTTTGTGGGTGACGCCACCAGGGAGGCCAAGCAGCTGAAAGGGCGAGCGGGCATCATACTCAAACATCTTAAGTCGCAAGCGTTTAGACATGTGCGTCCTCTAAAACTGCGAGCCCAAGCTTCGTGGTTTTAAGTGGCACAGGTATGTCACAACCGTTTGTGAGTTGATGCCGTCCCAAGGCGGCTTTACATGCTCCGTTAAGGCTGAGGTTTCAAACCGGTAAATTCGCACGAACTGTACACCGACACTCCGAGCAGAAAACGGCCCTGCCCAAAGCTATGCAAAGGAATGGCCTAAACTGGATGATGGCCTGCAAGTGTCAGCTTAGGGCTGAGGATAGATGGAATATACCACAGCGTCATCGGTGGCTGCGCAAGTCATGAAGCAAGGCTGGCAGCGTCTGACTCAAGCCGAAAGGAGGGTCGCGACATGCTAGTTCCTGCTCGTCACGAAGAGCTCACCACGGCAGCATGCTGCTTTCAACGGCATGTCTGCACCCAAGTCAAAGCTTACTGTCAACAGCTTGGAATCATCATCAGAGTTTAAGGACTCGAGACAGCGTTCCGGTAGTACTGCTGCTCCGTTGATGTGTCTAGCGTGACCCTGCCAGAGGCCTCTCGGTCATGTCAGGCACCTTGTCAGCTTCCGTTGCCCTGGCCACGCATTTTTGTCCCTGTTCATGGCAAAGGGTCTTGGACACCAGCAATCCCGGCCAAGTCCGCTCATTGCGGAATGGCTCCTGTGCCGGAGGCGAGCTACTTGTATCATGGCGTATGCACAGGCTCATTGCGGGCGCTGTGTGCGAGAACAGCACTAGATGTAAGGGTGCATATGTTCCTGGCAATGCTGCTGTAGCACAAATGTAATTTGCCGTTTTCTCTGCTTTGCCATGGAGGCACCAGTTATGTAGATCTTGCCCAGTTGCAGACGCTGTCGGCTTGATGCTTCGTAAGTTACACAGAAGGAGTGATTCATTGTCTGTATCTCTCGGCATTCCTTTGCGTCCTGTATCTTTCTCCTCTGGTTGAGAACCTCCGTCTACCTGTTGGCGGTCCTTGCTTGTGCGCGAGGACTCTTGTGGATAACGGTCCAGTCCGAAGCTTGTGGCGGAGCCTGTACAGCGTAAACAAGAGATCGCAAGAGCGCAGGGCCACCATTGGCCACCAGTATGCTGCGCGAAGGCTTCAGAATTTTCGTTGGTTCTCCACGAACTCTAATCTATCGCTACAGCTTCGGTGCTCTCAAAAATGTTGCCTGTTGCGCGACGTCCGGCCAGCGCAAAGGTCGCAGCCAGATCTCGCAAGTGTGAACTGTGAACTCAGTAGGACTTTCATAAACGCTCAGGCTGTTTTGGTACCGCTGGAGTTCACCACAAGCAGCACTGCGAGATGTTCCGGGCCTGAGTGTCTCTTCATCGTGTGATCGTGGTGCATATGCTGACCTTTGTGCAGAGGGGCTTTTGCCTCGTGACGAATTGTGGGACATGAGGCTCATGGCCAGCCGGCCCCGGCCAGTGCCAATCTCCGTGCTGCCCTCCCCCGGAGAGTGCCATTCAAAGGCACCCACTGCCCTGCAAGAAAGATGCAAAGCGCATGAAGTCTCCAGCTCGTCTGTACAACGGAGGGACCACTGGTCGATGTGCAAAGGCTAGGCTACATGTGCGCTTCTTCGATGAAGGCCTCGTTGCTCCACATGGCTTGTGTTTCTCCGATGAACCTCCAACCCAGAATTTGCGAACAAAGATCCCCACTGCACGCAGCCGGTTTTGCCAACACCCTGGCTCTAAGCGTTTTCTCATCTGAGAGGGCACGTCGCCAGGTGACCAGATACTGCAGATGAATCTGCTTCGGATGACGGGGCGTGGGCTGTCCGGTACCCGGCATTCGTGATTCTGAGCCATCACCAGTTCAAAAGCTTCCGTTGATGTGCAGTGTGGCAGTCAGCATGGATGGCACGCAATCCTGCGCAGCCCAATCGACAAAGAATTCAGACACATGCGTTAATAACACCTTGAAAACCCACAAGAGGCCTGGAAATGGCCGACTCTATGCCGTTTCAGGTTTAGAGTTGAGGGTTTACGGTTTAAGGATTTTGGGTTCGGGTTTGAGGAGTTACAGTCGGGGGTTGAGGGTTTCAGCGTTTAGGGTATACGGTATAAGGTTTCGGTTTTAGGTATTAGGCTTGTTCTTTTTAGACCTGTGTGCGCCACACTGGGGAGGCAGGGTCAACGCTTGGTGCATCCTGGCGTTTCTATGGCAACACACAGCGTGTAGCAAACCACACCGTGACGTGTTACAGCTGATACATCACGTGCAATAGCAGACGACACGACATAACCAGTCTGAGACTCGAACTCTCTTCGCAGTTCAGAAGCCCAGCCTTCATGCAGCCTGCAAAGAGAGCACCTTTGTGCAATGGCAAAACAACGTCAATGCCTGTTTGCGCACGGAGGACAGACCACATGTGAGTTTCTCCAAATTTGGTCCCCTACGATAAATTGGGATGTCTTCAGGGACTCTGGTTTGAGAAGGGTTTAGGGAAGTTTAGGGTTTAGCACCATGTATATCCATATTTCCAGTTCTTGAGATGTGAGGTGAGCCTTAGTGGAGTGCCTCTTCAGGCCTCCACTCCGGAGGCAGACGCCATGTGTTGAGCCGTCCCGACCTCGTACTGGAGCCAAGAATGCTTGAGAAAGTGGCTCACCTTTTGAAGCATGTCATTCATGTGCCGGAGACCTAGCGCAAAGGACGGGATACGGAAGGTTGAGATGAGGTGCCTGTGTCCGCTGGGCTCCTCACTTCGGGTGTGGAGAACTGAATCCTCACGGGTCGAGGGACTGGCTGCTCCCACCGTCGGTGGTTGAGGACTTGGACCTTGACAGACTTGGCTTTGTCCTGCCAGTTCCCTTCCCATTGAACGTGGTCGCAAAAGGCATCGCCAAAGCGTGCACGTGTGAACGAGCGTGGAGATTCAACGTGGGGCCCGTGAGAACACTAAGGTTGTTGCGCTCAACACACGGCCTTGTCCCCCAGTTTTGCAGCGCACGTTACACCATTCTCTATTGCCCAAGCGTCTGTCCGCGCCGCTCGAGTACTTTCAGTGACAGCTGGGTGGAGTGAAACGAGCAGTGCAAGTTTGAAATCAGTATGTGGTCGATGTACCCTGCACCGGCGAAGAAGCACAGCAGCTGTCCGGTCAAGTTTTGCCTCCAGCCCAAGGCTGAGAGATAGAAGCCATTCTTTGCTGAACATGCGCTCGCCCTTTGCATTCTGCACGTGGGCATGGGAAGAGGGACAGCATTCCTACCCCGCACGTGCCTGCACAAATGTCCTCCGGCTCCTTCGCTGACCTTCACCTTCGGCCGGGTCTCTTGCTTCCGTGCCCGATGCCTGGGAGGCGCTTGTGCTCCGCGGCGAGAACGCGCCCCCAGATCATGGGCGCGCACGCGCTCACGCCGTGCTTGCGGCTCGAAGCGGCGCCTTCCACTTTGGCTGCCGTTGCCGCTCTCTCGAAGGTCAAGTCCCGATAAGGTTTTCATTGGAGCAGTCCATGCTCCCGCTGTGCAATGAATGCGGCGCCTTGCTAGGGACTCTCTGGCTCGTGCCTTCTCGCCTTGCACAGCTCCTGACCATGGAATGCGAGCTGAACGTTGATTTGCAAATCCTGAGTTCTAGAGTCTAACCTACTGCGGTAACTTCTTTTTCTGCCCAGGCAGGTTTCTTCAGTGCCAAGTCGATAGGCTTGCAGTGGTGTTGCATCTTCCGAAGCTGTCTGGCGCAGCATGTAGGCATGCTGCGGCATGCTTGCTCGGCCAGTGAGCTGCGAGTTGGTGCAGGTGCTATGTATCCGTTCTGAGCGTGTGCAAGCTTGCCGTGTGTTGGCCCTGAACAAATGCTGGGCAGGCCGCATCGTCTTTGGAGGCATGCGGCCCCGAAAAAGAAACAGGGAGCACCCGTCTTTACAAGGGCTCCTGCCTAGAGCAACGACACGGCCACGAGCTGCCAGTCGGCGTCTGGGTCGAGTGAGGTTCCAAGCTCAGCTCAGCTTAGCATATCTTTGTCAGTCATGGCACACCTTTGTCACCAATTGCCTTTGCCACGGTTAGCACGGACGGTGCAAGCACGGACTTATGCTGGCATTGCTGCCCTGTCTCTTATGGACACCCCTTTTGCAGTTGTCCGGGCCCGCTTTTCTGATCGTACAGAGGAACAAAGTGAGCCCTGTAGATGTTTCTTACATTTCGAACAATGCAAGAACAGGCACGAAAAGGCTGTCGCGAATGCCTGCATCGTTGCTCTCCCTCTCCGTGTTCAAGTGCTCCACCATGTCGACTCATACCTCCGTAAAGAACATCCCTGCAGGCGCCTCTGCTTCGGTTCGAGGTTGCAGCCAGCACCCGCAGCGACGGTCCTGGCGCTCCTTGCTGTAAGGCGGGTGAGGTTCGAATCCAGCCTTGTGAAATCCCCATATCACTGCAGAAAGGCAAGGCGGCTAGACTCGACATGCACTGATAGTGCTGGCCAAAGCACTTGAGAGCTGTGCGTTGTCACAGCCAGTTCAGTCCGCCCTTGTCGGTTACAGTACCCCTGCTTCGCTCCATGTCTAGGAGAGCTGCAGGGATAAATCAAGACCCAGAAACATAATTACTGCAACCAAACCTTCGAGACAATGTGCTGGCTGCAGGTCACCAGCATACCTGGGAGGTGTAGAGAACGGGGCATGACACGACTTGCATGTGCTGCCCAGGCCGGGTCAGATAGCCCCTAATTGTCGATTAATGTTGGTGTAACGGCTGGGCGGCACTGTCACTGCCCGTCCCGGCATGCGTTGCACCACCTGGTGGCCCTTTTGGCCTGACTTGTAGGTAAGTTCTTGCGCCGCATGCAACACCTGACTCGGATTTCAAGCACGCCCAGAATGCTGACACATGGCACATGGCGCCGTGGCACGGGTCTCTGGAGGACCTGAAGGAGCTACGCAGCGGATCCCAGTTGGATGTTGAGCTGCCTGTGGAAGATGGGCGGATGGTTTCATGAACCTGAACTTACTTTCTGGGAGAAGGCCCCTTGCCTTCTGTGATGCCTATGCCTATGCAGATGTCCCTCGCTATCCCACCCGAAGCTCCCGAGGCCAATGCTTGTGCCATGGGTGGTGTCAGTCCTGAAGGTGTATTCTTGCCACGGCTGACTTGACTCCGCATTGCAGGTCGGTTTTGCTTGGAGGCCTGGTTGTTCCAGCTCTGAAGGCATCACACCTCCAACAGCTTTGAATGGCTTTTGCCTTGTATAGGACAGTGGATCTTTCAGCATTTCTGCTCTCACACCAGCCGTGAGACTCCCTAACAGACACACCTTTGGTGCCATTCCGATGGGCCAACCGATGTTTTGAAACGTGGCTTTTGCGTACCCAAAGCTGAAAACGTGCACTGCATCGGTGTGTAAAAGGCGTTCGCAGCCGAGAGAAGAAACCTGTTGAGGCGCGCTGCCTCACGCCTTTCAGCCCTCTCTGAGGCATTGGGCGCTTGCGGATCTCTGTCATTTGCCAAAGCGCAGACTTGGCGGCAACAATGTGCATTTTGTGGAGTCCACGGATCAGCCGTGTCCCACAGGCGACATGAGAATACCATGTGCTTCAGACAGCCTTTTGCATCCAGCTCCCACGAAGTTAGGACAGGAATGCCTTGCTCAGTTCGAGCCTGAGGTTGATCAAGAACAGTCGTCGAGCATTTCTGGCAGGGATGCACAAAAAGACTGGGGCAAATTGCAAGTCATGAGTTGACGGCATGAACCGTTTCTTTCATTTGTTTGGATATTTGCCAACAACCAGCATGATATTCTGCCATGCCCGAGCGGTAGGTGTGTTGAGTCTTGAACGAAGACTGGACATGTGATGGCAAGCAAGCGGACGGTGTGTTCCTCGCCTGAGAAGTTTGAGCATAATCCCCGTTGTGTGTCTTCGGGCATGAACTGTTATTTGGGATCTTGGCTCCAGCTGCGGGAAGGGCCAGGCGCAATCACTTTGCTGGATGGTATCACTTGTTCCGAAGCAGGCCCTGAAATGAAAGAACAACCCAACCACGCCATCACTTTGGGTTCATTCACCGGAGGGCACGTGTGGGTCCAAGATGAAAATGGAAACTCTCCAGCCGAAGTCGAAATGAAAAGTGGGGTTCGTTCACTCATAGGAACGTGGTACGACATTCATGACAAACCCATCACTTTCAACGCAAGACGGTTTCATCAGCTCGAACCGCATGAAGGTCATATGTGGGCCTTGGCAGCTTACACCCCTCAAGCTTTCAAGCACGCTTCGGATGATCTTGCCTTTTTCATATGAAACATATTGGAGTGATGGCTTGAGATATATCTCTATGTTTCACTTTTTACATATAAATTGATGCGAACACCCGTTTGACACATAGACGGGAAATAAGATTTTTGTTGTGGGATTTTTGTCGGAGCGAGTGTGGAATTATTTGTGAAAGTTTCGCACAGCTCTGGGTGATCGATCGTCTACAGAATACCGGCTGTGATTGACAGGCTCCGATGTACATGTGGTCGAAATGGGGTCGAAAAAGCTCCGAAACGGGTCCGAAATGGGTCCGAAATGGGCCCGAATTGGTTCCGAAATGGAATGGAAATTAAATGGGTCGAAATGGGTCCGAAATGGGCCCCCACCCCACAGCGGTTTGATGCCGTGGGCTCGTATATGTTTTCCCCTCTTGCAACAGCTGTGAGAAGTTTGTCGAACAAAAGACATGTTGAGACTCATGAGTGCGGTTTGTGTTGTTGAAAGAAATAATTGAACACTCTCTCGACAAGCCCCGGGTATTTTGAGCATGCACCCCGTAAGCTGCAATGTATCGTCGCCGAGACTACAAGGCAGTCGTGAGCAGTTGTAATAATTTAACACTTCGTGCACGTAGCTTCGTGTGGATGGGCAATGTGCCACAGGCCCGACCTTCAATGTTGTCGAGGCTTAATGCCCAATCGTTGAAGATGACAGGTGTTCCGTGACATCACGGAAGATGGAAACGTGTGGGATCAGGAGTTGCAGGACTTCGGTTGTTTCGCATCACATTATGTAAGCCCTGTGCAGGACAAGATAGTCCTGCCTTCCCATGCAGATGTGCTCAGTGAGCAGCAAGTGCTGCCCAGGCAACTGCGTGAGTGGGCTGCGGTGCTCTGGTGCTCCGTTGATTCCTAAATGTTCACAACCCCTGTCTGACACAGTTTATTCCTGGCTCCCGATGCTTCAAGCCACATGCCCGGATGGTGAAAATTCGAGTGAGCGCGCAGCTTCAAGCGCGGAGCCAGACGCCGTGCGGCCCAGGTATGAAAGCGTCTGTGTCTCGCAGCTCCTTGACTGGCCATGGTCCCAGCAAGTAAGACTTTACGCGACTGCCGTTGTGGGATGATTGGAAGTTGCAATTCTCAGGATCTGTGCGGTCGGGATCGTCAAGATGTTTGAGCTTTTCCGATGATTCGAACGATGGCTTTTCGGACGTCCCGTTCGGAACTGAGCCTTCAGGACAAGGTTGCAATGGCGACAGCTTCGCAAATGCAGCTGCTCCGAGTCAGCATGTCTCCCCTGCGAAAGCGATCCGAGATTTGGAACATTCCTTGATGACCTTCCATCGCAGGCCAAGCAGCATGTAGTTTTGAGATGCTGAGACGGCACATTGTAGTTGGCAGTCAGTTAGCTGAACCGCAGACTTGGTCGTGTGTTGCTTCGGAGGTCGTTTTGCAGACCACCTGCTTGTGTGCGCGAAAATCTTGGGCAGAGGACTTCTTGGACAGCGGCAGACTTTGGCAAAAACGTGAGCAACGCAGCAACGCCCGACAGAGGACCTTTCTCCATGCCGCAGGTCGAAGCCGCGCTGGCTTCCTCTTGGGTGCCTTGTCACAACAAGATCTTCTTTGCATGCCTCCCACGTACGACCTCCTGCGGCGTAAAATCATCAACACATCGCTTGTCGTCCATGGCTTAGTTTCAGACTTTTTTGGTTGACATGCTCTCAGATGTCTCTCGTACAGGCTGGGATGCCAGACCCCGTGGCAAGTACAGGTTTACGGTCGAGGTTCTGCCCTGGTGAGTCCACCACAGTGCGCGGAGACTCTCCATCAACGAACGCCTGAATCGTTGCGTCCAAGTTTCAGGCCAGCCGAGGCCGAGGCTCACTAGAGATGTCGCCCACAAGACCCTTGCAATCCGCCTGAAGATGGAGGTGTTGCAGGTGATATGCCTTTCCGGAATGGTGTCCAACGTCAAGTTGCGTGTTAGCTCTATGTATATATATATATATTAATTTAGATTTATACAGAAAATGTATATGCGTATGTTCGTGCGTAAGTCTGTATGTCTGTATTTCTGTATGTCTGTATGTATGTATGCATGCATGCATGCATGCATGCATGGATGCATGGATGCATGGATGCATGTATGTATGTATGTATGTATGTATGTATGTATGTATGTATGTATGTATGTAAGTATGTGTACATATATATATATATGTGTAGAAGCACATACACATATACGCTTTTTGATGACTTATGTATCATTGTCTGCTTGAGCACCACCTTCAAGACAGACCAATCCTGTCGAGCATAAGGGTCCCGTGCAAGCGAGTTGTGTTACAAGGACGTCGAAAATTACGCACGTTGCATCTTGCGAGCTGCGGCCGTTGGAGTCGTTCGGGTTCCTTTCGGTCTGCGGTCATCGAGATTCACCCACGAGGCCAGAGACCCGCTTGTTGCTGTCCGAGGCATGCCAGTGTTGCTTTCCGGCACATGATGTCTGCACTTACAAATATGTAGCCAATGTCTGAAGTAGGTAGGACAAAGAGGGTGTGGGCTTGCCAGAAGTGCTTTCATCCAGTGCTGTCACAGCATTTGGCTCAGCGTCAATTCTGATATCTATACAGCACGCCTGGCACATGTCATATGCCCCTGCAGGTTTGAACAGACTCAGTCGTCAGAAAGTTTTCTGAAGCAGCCGCGGTATCATGGACACTGTCTTCGCGTGGCTCCAGGGTTCTGGCTCCGAGCTTCCGGAAGTATACGATGTTCCCTCTGACGGTACTTCTCGGTACCAGCAGCTCGCAGTCATTGTGGACAAATATCGGACCTAGCTGTCATGCTGCATGTCCGAGGATTAAGATCGTCAAGGCGCTCAGTGACAATTATATGCAGCTTCGGCAGCGATATCCTGTGAGTTCTCGCAGACCCAGGCTCAAGTTATGCAAGAACAGAGAGTGGCTGTGTTTGAGGTACCTGGTCGTTGCCACGGACTCTGCCCGAGCCGTCGCCATCGATCCCGCCGAGGGCGAGAAGACTGCGGCACTGTGCAAGAGTCTAGAGGTCAGCTGAGCATCCTCAAGCATTTATCTGGATGTTACTTTCTTGGCAGTTGCTCCATCGGTGGACCTTTCATACAGCGACTGGGTTCGTCATGGTTCGTCCAGAGCCTGACCAGATCGACCTCGTCGCCGTGCTTAACACGCACTACCACGCAGACCACTCAGGCTGTCGAGTCAGTTCTGTCATGGCTAAAGCTCTGCCAGTTAATTTTGCAATACCCATGAGAGTTGTTCCGCGAGATGCCTATTGTGCCAGGTGGCAACGCCTTTCTTGCGAGCGCACTGCCTGGCCTCGAAGTGGTAGTCGGCGAGCGTGATGTCGTGCTTTTCTTATTATAGAGGGCCACCGATGCTTTGATGTGTGCTGCTCGGACATGATTGGCCTAGCTGGACAGAGGACCGAACTCCAGCAGTTACGCGCCGGGTGCAGGACGGTGAGAGCATTGAGCTGGCAGGCAGGGTGTCCTGCAGGCAACGATGCTGGGATTTGCATGCGCTGCGTGTCGGCTCTTTCAGGCCTCAGCTTTCGCTGCGTGGCCACACCTTGCCACACTCGCGGCCACGTTTGCTTCTTTTTGGATGCCGACGACGGTCAGGCAGGTTGGAGTTGTGGTATGAGGTGGAACACCGCCTTCGTCATTTCATGCCAATGGTATCGGAAGCCTCTGCCAGGCACCTGCGCTCTTTTCAGGAGACGCTCTTTTCGTAGCCGGCTGCGGCCGGTTTATGGAAGGTGCACTCTGGTTCGTGGGAGGAAGTTCGAGCTTGGAAGATCTTTGAAGGCACTGCGCTGTCGATGCGCCGGACCTTGCATGCCTTGGCAGCGCTGCCGAAGAATTCACGGCTCTTCTGTGGCCACGAGTACACGGTGCCCAGTTGTGGAACATGGGATCGTCTTTCTGGTTGACGCTGTGAGACTATTTTTGAGAAGTCTGAGAAACAACAAGGTCGGGAACCTGGAGTACGCTCTGTCCCTGGAGCCCTCCAGCAACCTCTTGAAAGACCGCTTAGACGCAGCGAAGGCCAAGCGGGCAGAAGGCTTGCCTACAGTACCGTCCACACTGTTGGAGGCCCCTGCAGCAGTCGCACGTGCCGCACGGGGGGGCATGTGCAGATTGCATGTGCGCTGGGTGCTGGCATTCGCAGGAGCAAGAGCACAATCCCTTCTTCCTTGCCTTGAACTCCGAGGGTGTCGATGACCTCACTGAATTGAGCAGGTTGCGTCGTGGCGACTTGTCTTGACTTGAGAGCGTCAGCGTCAGTCCGAAGATCCGTTTTGTGGAATGGCCCAGGAAAAGACACCTTCACATTTCCAGGGAAGATCATCACGATGGTTCTGGATGTGCAAAGTTACTTCTACCCTCCCGTTGACGAGGAGATTCCCTGAGCTGCACTGAAACTCCAAAGCTCCAAAGCTGAGCGGAGCCGGGCCACGAAGTCCGCGCAGAGCAGCGAAAGAATGCAACGTCGGAGCCACGAAGTCTCCCTCACCTCCTCGCATCTCAGTCCTTGTGTGAGGCCCGTAAAACGGCAGAGTTTTTTGATAGTTTCCGTGACAGGCTCGGCTCCGGCTCCTCCGTCCGCAGCTTCCCATCACCTGCCGACGCTTGGAAAGCGCAGAACACTGCCTGCGAAATGAACTTTGCGACGATATTTTTTTGAGTTCTCAGGAATGGCAAGAGCCTGGAGGCTGTTGTACGACCCTCGAGTGCACGGCGTCTCCATCGGCACCTTCTTTCGTCAATGTCAGGCCGAACACAGCTGCCATGCGTTCACAGCCGCATTCGCGACAGAAGCCTCAGTCGTGCTTGAGGCTTGGCCGGGGGAGACCCTGATCCTTGTTGAGGACAAGTCGACTCTTTGAAGTCCGCAATTTCCTCAATGTTTGGAGAGAAGCGGGCGGCCGGCTTCCCATTCAGTCAGAGAGTATCAGCGAGAACGTGAGGGTCAGTCGAAAACTGCTTCTCGCCTGAGCAGAACCCTGCAGTTTGAAACAAGCCAGCAGGCAAACAGCATAGAGTCACTGATCGGGGGCGATGAGGCAACGGATAATAAGCATGTGGAGCTACGTTGAGAAAGCGCAGGGAGGTTTTTTCTTCTGGCCGAAAACTTGTTTCTGCTTTGCTCTTCATGTTCCTTCGAAACCTTGTGATGTTCAGGCAGTCGGATGTAGGCGGTGAGATATGATGGCCCATGCCAATGCTTGGGGATTCCCTGTCTCAACATGCAAACTTGGGGTTCAAGATGCACAGGTCGCTCTTCGGGATGCAAACTCTCTTGGTTGCCTGGGTTCAACCTGCACGCGTACATGCTGGCGGCGTGGTAGAATAGCAAAATAGTAAATAGTAAGCAGAAAAATAGCCAATACTGAAGCAGTACAGTAGTACAGTAGTGATCTAGAAAATTGGTAAATTAGCAACATCCTGGCTCAACCGGCGCAGTTTTTTCGAGACGCGAACCGCTTGGGGCATGGTAGAATGGTGAAATAGGAAATAGCAAACAGTATGCGAACAGACCTCGATGCCTCGTGCAATTCGTGGGCGTCACGATAAGAGCTATGAGAGTGACCATGTTCAGAGGTGTCACAGGACTGCTTGACAGATTGTGATCTACCGGCAACTCATTTACACTTCTGCCTTGCAGAGTGTACAGAGCCTGCTTACTTTGAAGTGCTCCGCCTTACTCGCAGCCTTGGCTCAAAAAACTGCCATAAGCCGAAAGCTTACGACTCAGTTGTAGGCATCCGATCCAAGAGTCTGAGCCATTCCCGTTGCACAGACCAACGACTGAGCGCAATCTGTGAAAAAAAGTGTCAGCGCGTGTGCCTGCAGAGGGAAATAGGTGAGCACTGAAGATATCGACGTCTACTTCAACAATTGGCGACCGCTATCAGTATCATTACGCTCGGTGAGGTGAGCTACCAAGACAACATCAACAACAAACCCTCACGCAGGTTACCAGCCGGAGGCTTCGCCTACAAAAAACTGGTCGTTGATCATCCTCCCTCACGACGACGTCTGGATCAACTGCAGATACGACAATGACCTTTGGGGGCGGCGAGATTGCGCTGCCGGCAGGAGGAGAGTCCACTGCCGATGACTCAGCGGCGGTGTCCGTTGACAGTACTACCACTGAAGAGAAGAAGACGAAGCCATCAACCTCATCGCCGACTAACCCCAAGAGAAAGGCAAGATCCTCGTCGAGGACGACTACATCGTCACCTCCATCTTCGGCAAACCCCAGAACGAGAGTAACCGAGAGGCGACCGTCCAAGACGGTGATTGAATGCTTGCAAATCGACATTGAAAGTGAGAGATCGTGAACCAAGGAGTCCAGAACAGAGAAGGGCAAGATCTTCAAGAAGCTCTTCGAGAAGATCTTTGCGGTCTGGGTCTGTGCAGGGCAGGGAAGGATGCTCCCCGTCGCCACTGGCGAGGGTGCAATCATCGCTTGATTCGGGTTTGCGAAGCCCTTCCATGAGCCCCAATGCGGATTTGGATGCAGTGCGTCATGGCGATGTACTTCCAGGACCCGCAACACACAGCCCATGCACGATCCTTATTGCGCAGTCAGAGATGCAACGATTTCATGAAACGGAAATCCGCCGTCATGAAGCAATTGCAAAGGCTTTGATGCGGAAGATTTCGGAGATGACCCAGGAGGACCAAGGATCCGCCACGAGAATTGAAGAGTTGGAACGCCAACACAACATGCTACGGTCAGCTATGGCACATATGAACGGGGTGCGTCGTGCTGATGCGGATTGAAGAAATGAGCCAGCATCAGCATGTTCGTATGGCTAGAGAGTATGAGAAGCTCACGACTGAAATAACATGACAGCCGATGAGTACCTGCAAAGTATCGACGAGACACCAAGGTTCGCGGCTAACGCGACGGAAGGGACTACTCCCATCGAGCATTACCTCAGACGTCTGGTCACCTACTTGGCTCGTTTGCAGTCTGTGGCTCAGAACTCTGAGAATGGCCTTGCTTTGAAGGCGTACGTCCATTTGGATTCTCGTGCGTGGCTACGAATGTTCCGAAGAACAGCTCCACAGCGGGAATCTCCTTTGGAGGTCCCACGTCAAGAGGTTGCTCATGCGACGGAAGAGGCTACCACTGCCACATCCACCAATGCCAACGTTCAAGATGACGAAGAAGCCGATGGGCCGATGGGCCGATGGGGTCTTGACTATGGCTGAACCGGAAAAGGAGGTCGACATCGCCGACATGGATGATGAAGCCGAACCTGACGAAGAGCGACAAGAAGACTATGATGAGGATGAGGGCCAAGATGAGATTGCAGAGCGACGCCCGGTGCTTGTGCAAGAGCACCCGCGCATCATCGATCCAGTTCTTGCTCAGGCAAGACTGTCCATGCAGATTCCTTACTATCCGAACGCTCCCGTTGTGTACTGCATCGACACGAAGTCTGTTTATTTCGCTCACATGGCTTATGTCGTGGCGCACTGTATGTACAAGGCGTGGGTCTCTACCATGAGATGGACGGACCTCAAATATCTCAAACATGAACAAATGCGCCCCAGCTTCCAGAATGGAAATGGATATGATGTTCTTGGTGATTGACCGACTCTTTGTGCAGTCGACCCAGAGACCAAGGTTTCACGGGACGTCACCGACGAGGAGATCTTGTCCTATACTCGGGGCTTGAATGATCCTTCAGATCCTGAAGGAATCTACTTGTTTCGACAATTCCGCACCCGTCAGTTAATTGCTCTCTAAGCTCATGCGATGTGCCCAGCAATTGGGTATGCCAAATTCAATCCGTCGACCTATCTTGAGCTTCGACATCACACAACCCAAGAAATGCATGCAACTTGCTACGACATCTTGCAGAACCTCGTTGCAAAGGTCACGAGCAAGTCTATGCTCACAATGCTCAATCAGCCGCCAACAGGATCTCATGGCTACTTGTACACTGATCCAGTGGCAGTGATGATGATCACCGGTCTATCGGCTACGACCACCACGACCATTGAGTCGCTCGTCAACTACGACATCCTGATACCTGCAAGGTACACCCCGAAGTTGACCAAGCCGCACCTGGATAATCAACGTGGTCAACATCCCACAGCCCTCCGTCACCTGCAACCTGGCGAGTACTTGGCCCCAGCGCAACTTGCTGTTCGAGATCGACCTGTGACTGAAGAGGAACTTGCAGCTGCTAGACCAGCAGAACCCAAAGGACGACCTCCGAATCGTGGCAATACCAACAAACGTGACAAAGGCAAAGGGAGAGGAAAGCCACATGATCATCCCGAACGCGACCGTAAGCATGACCGAGAATATGAGCGTCCCTGGGAACGTGACAACACGAGGTGATCCTCTTCCCGAATGTCTACTACAAGCATTGCTCAGTTGAACTTGTGACACCGGCATCTCCAATGTGATTTTCACAGCATTGCCGTTTTCTTCGGTGACACTCTGATCCCAACTCGCAAGTTCAGGGGATCGGCACTGACGTAGCAAAGTGTCACAGCATTTTGAATTGGGAGTTCAAGGTTCGTACTTATTTCACAAAGTTGCAGCGTATTTGACACTTGTGGTTTCTGGTCAAATCACGAGTCTCTTCCTATGTGAGCAAGACCGAAGGACTACGGTGCGAACAGACCCTGATGCCTCGTGCAATTGGTGGGCGTCGCGATAAGAGCTATGAAAGTGACCATGTTCAGAGGTGTCACAGGACTGCTGGACAGATTGTGATCTACCGGCAACTCATTTACACTTCTGCCTTACCGAGTGTACAGAGCCTGCTTACTTTGAAGTGCTCCGCCTTATTCGCAACTTTGGCTCAACAAACTGCCATAAGCCAAAAGCTTACGACTCAGTTGTAGGCGTCCGATCCAAGAGTCTGAGCCATTCCCGTTGCACAGACCAACGACTGAGCGCAATCTGTGAGAAAAATAGTGTCAGTGCGTGTGCTTGCAGAGGGAAATAGGTGAGCAGTGAAGATATCGACGTCTATTTCAACAATTGGCGACCGCTATCAGCCGCTGTCAACATCATTACGCCCGGTGAGGTGAGCTACCAAGACAACATCAACAAAAAGCCCCCGCGTGCACCGCAAATAGTAAATGGTAAAACAGTACTAAACAGTACATTAGTACAGCAGTGAAATCGTAGAACAGTAAATAATGAACCAGTAAGGCACTGGCCCTCGACCGGCACAATTTTTGTCTTCGATATGCAGACGGCTAGGGTCGTGGTAGAATAGTAAAATAGTAGGAACTAGTAAATAGTAAAGCAGTAAACGGTACAATAGTACAGTAGTGAAATAGTAAATTGTAAACAGTAAAATGGTCATGAGTTTACAGTACAATAGTACAGTAGTGAAGTAGTAAAATATTACAACCTTGGCTCAACCGGTACACTTCGGTTTGCGAGATGCAAATGGCTGGGGGCGCGGTATCATAGTGACATAGTAAATAGTAAACAGTATTGTAAATACTAAAACACTAAATAGTACAATAGGACGATAGTGGAAGGTTAATTTAAAATCGAAAAATAGACAAGTAGTAGAAATCCTGGCTCAACCGGCACAGTTCGGTTTTCGAAATGCAAGCGGTTGGGGGCGTGGTAGAATTGAAAAGTAGTACAGTAGTTTAAACAACAAAGTAGGAAAATCCAGCTCAACCGGCACAGGCCGGTTTTCGAGATGCACTCTGCTAGGGGCATGAAAAAATCGGAAATAATAAAATAGCAAAATCCTGGCTCAAACGGCACAGCTCTGTTTGCGAGATGCAAAACGTATTGGCTCAACCGGCACAGGTCGGTTGTCGAGATACAAAACGTATTGGCTCAACCGGGACAGGTGGTTTTCGAGATGCAAACTGCTTGCTGCCATGATTCTCGAACGCCAGCTCTGCATCTCGAAAACGCAACCTTGCATGTCGAACGCCACAGTCCCCCGATTGCTTACCGTTTCAAGTGTTCGCAACATCTCTCGCTTTAACCGGATATTTCCTCGACAGGCATCGTGAAGCTGCGTGATCTGTACACATGTGGCACACACGCATGTGTCTGGTGCTTCCCTACTTTTTCAATTCGCCACGGGTTGAAGCGAATGCAGGAGAGGTTGTCGTCCAAAACCCAGATTCCCCCCACAAACAAGGGCTTGAGGCTTTCAACTAAACCCTTCGATGTTGCCGACAATCCTCCCAATGTACAGCTCCGCGATCCGCAGCTGCGGAAGCAGAACCCACGTCCAAAAGTTTACACCCCAGCACGTGCGCCGTCTGTTGGTCAAATCCGGAGCGTTTGCAAACCGGTTTGCTTTGATGGCTCGGGCTTTGTGGCCAGAGTCGGAGGACGCGGAGGGCTCCGTCTTTGGAGCACTAGCCTCGCAAACTTGGCATGTGCCGGGCTTAGAAGGCAGCTGGCCTGGGTGAGGATGAACTCTTTCGGAGCTCTGAGCTTGTCTCTTTGGCGGAAAAGTGTTCAGGTTTCCAACCGGCGACACTTTGGACAGCCCAGCTGCTTCGCCTTCCGGTTTGATCGGACGGAGGCATACAAGACGAAGCTTGTGTCCGAATGTGTCTGACTTGGAGCAGTGAGAAGCTCGGGTAAACTGAAAGGGGAGGTCGATTACGAACGAAGCGTGCCTGTCATTACATCCCACTTGAGTCAACTTAGCATTGCAATGCTTCCTGGCAAGCTTTGTTTGTGCCATCAGGCGTGTGCCTCCTAGCATGGTTGAAGTTGTGGTTGAAGTTGTGCCGGGTGCAATGCATGACAAGACTGGCAAGGCAGGTGAGGAGATTGACCTCTACCCTTGGGTGCTGCTGGCTGTGCTTAGCTTTCTTCGCATGGAGCGTGGTTCAGGGCAGAGGTTTTGTGGCAAAGCCTTGCACATCAAAGGGATTCCTCAGTACGACGACAGCATTCATGATCAGGCAGGGGTCAACCAATACTTTCTCTTCGCTGATAGTGGCATGTGCCCAAGTTCTTACCATCTCGTCATGAGCACCCACGTCCATTTTGGCTTCTGAGGTGGCTTGAAAGTCGGCGGGGGCAGGCTGCGGGTGTCTGCTGATGAAGCTGAAACTCAGCCGCCATGTGCTGGCAACAGTTCGTTTTGCAATCAATCTTTGCATGATCTCCAGCCAATGACGCTTCCGTTTGTACATGATGTATATACAAGACGATCTATCTATACTGTCTAACTATCTAGATATCTTAGCCATGTACCCAGCCATCTATCTATCTATTTCTCTATCTATCTATCTATCTATCTTTCTGTCTCTCTTTCTATCTATCTATCCGTCTATCTGTTTTTATCTATCTATCTGTCTGTCTGTCTCTCTATCTATCTATCTATCTATCTATCTATCTAACTCTGTCTACAGCTACCTATAACTATATCATCCAAGTCTATCTATATATGTGTAGATCTATCTGAATCCAGACAAAGCTGGATGCTGTGACTCTGCCTGATTTGCAGATCTGCTGCAATCTGGATCGATGCGGACTTCCTGAAGGGAGCCTCGGTGACTTTCATTTAATTCAGCATGGCTCTCTCTTTCTGGCGGTAGTGGGTGCCTAGTCCTTCAAGAAACCCTGTTGCTCGGCACTTGCCAGCTACACACACCTCGACGCAGCAGGGGGCCTGTGACACCTTCGGCACGGCGGCTCCACTCAGCAGCTCGGAGGAGTTCGTCGTGCGCCGTTTCGAGCCGCCCTAGCATGTGAGAGCAGAAGAAGAGGCAGAAGATGGAGAGGAAGAAAAAGATTGAAGCATCTTGGCAGATGCTGGGGCTTTGACACAGCAGCGGAGCAAGATTCCAACGAGGCGAACCTTGCGAGTCAGGACCTTTGCCAGTGGGAAGCTCACCCAATCATCGAATTGACGCCCAAGCAAGCTGTCGCTATCTGTCTAGCAAGCAAAACACGAGAGGATTCTCGCCTGCTCCTACGCGAGCAGGCTTGGGAGCAGGCCTGAGCGACTTTTCGTGGCTGCGGGCACCGGGTGGTGTGTGTGTCTCTGTGTGTGTGTGTGTGTGTGTGTTTGTGTGTGATGCTTTGGTCAAAGATTTGGCTTCATGGAGTGGTTTGCTAGCGGCATCCGGTGCAAGCAGCTGGAAGAAGATAGTGATAGTGGAAGAAGTCCTTGCGGCTTGTGCTAGATGCATGCTGTTGTGCTCGGAATTCTTGCATTTGGGCTTCGCCCCAGCTTTCGGTTCAAAACGGGCCAGGGCTCGGGCAGCGTGCCTTCGAGTGTCGAAGGTCGGAAAGCGCGCATCGGGAATGGCATCAGCTCAAGTGCAGCAAGCCCAACCGACTGAAGTGTTTGGAGGATGGCCGAGCCCGATGATCCGCTCGTGATTAATGTCGTGGGTCGACACAAGGAGCCTGAAATCGTCAGCTTGATCTGCGCGGATGCCGTAACGTTTTCAGCCGAGGAGCGCGAAAATCAGGATCTCCAAGGTGAGTACCACATGAAGCTCGAGTGCATCCGGATGATGGGGGATGGACGTTAATTGCGAAGGTTGGTTCGGCATGCACGGTGTGCTTTTCCGGCGGAACTTGTTGCATGATGTTCGTAAGCTGCTTAGTGCGTAGCATCTTTGAGTGAAGCCATGAACTTGTTCAAGCATGAGGTATCTTGCGGAAGAAGCTTCATGTGCATGGCTTGTCACTGTTTGCATCTTGCAAGGATCGGCATGGTGCACGGCCGTCCTGCTTATCGCAAGCCTGGCACGAGGCTCGTATGAGACAGAAAAGGAGAGCAAACACTCCTAGACACTGCAGGCAGGCAAGGAAGAATCTGCACGAGTCGTCTGGGTCTCCGAATAACGAGCCTCTGATTTTCGGATGCACCTGCCCCGGAAGGACGGTGATTAGATACTGGCCTGTCGCTGACCGCTGGCTGATCGACAGGGAAGGTGTCCAGGAGTCCGCAGTGCGGTGTTTGTGTCGTCCCCCTGTACATGCGAAAAGCCTTGCACCTTGAACTCGTCAGGCTGTGTGCGTTGTTGACATTCATGTTGCAGGGGCCATGGCGGTCTTTTCCCTAGCCATGCCAACGAAGCTGTGGGAATTGACTGGAAGGGAAGCTGGACGCAGTTTCCTGTACTTGCAAAACGTAACGAGTCGTAGCTTGGGCATCCATGTCTACTTTTCCGTCCTTATCAGCAAACCGGTTTTCCGAGGCTGAGGTTGCAATCGACATGTTTTTTCATGAGTGAAGTGAAATCAGCTTGAAAGTTATGTGCAGCTCATGAGTGCATGTGCAGACGTGCAACCAATTCACGGCCATTCCGTCCTCGACAACAAGCTTGGGTCTCGCAGTACCGACCTGCCATGTATCTTCAGAGTTGTGAACACAAAACAGGAACGAGAGTGAGCTTAGAACAGTAACTTCTTGTGCGGCCTTTTGCCCGCATCGTAAGAGCAGGAGTCTGATATTTGCAACGCCTATGCAGAGCAGGGCGGTGCGAGGCACCCTGCAGTCGAGGAGCTCGTGTGGCTTGGAAGCAGAAGAGGGGGTTTGCTTCTGAGAACGAGCGGAGTAGGGCGGACCCGGCGGACCAGCGAGGTGGAGAGTTTGGGAGTCTCAGCATCGGCAGCATGTCCGTGACCCCGAGCAGCTGGCCTGAATGCTCTTGGAAGCTAGGAGAAGGGCGCTTTCGAAGGGAGATGGTTGCTGAGGTTCCTGGTGACCGCTGCGCCCAACACCATCCAAGCCAATTGGCTGCACGACGAATCCCCAAACGCAGTAGAGTATTGTGGCCTTCTTGCAGCTTTTACACTCGCTGTTGAATCTTTAGCAGGGCTACCGGCTTCAATCATGCCATGTCATGTCCTCTGCCCGCCTGTGTGCCTGAGGTGCTTGGGCGTGCTGCTGGAAAGGAGAACTGGGCCTTGAACGGCGAGCATCCTGTCGCAGATGAGACGAATGGCGGATGATTGGAATTCATATTCCTGCTTAGAGCCCGTAGAATGCGCCAGGTGGCAATTCAAGAAGCCTCACGTCTTGGAGTTGGCCAAACCTCTGCGGCCATCTTGTTCAGGAGAAGTGGATCCCAGTACTTAGCAGCCCGAGCAGAGCAACAGACGGAACATGAAGTGAACATCTACAACATCGAGTCCAAGATTGGTTTCGACTCCGGAAAAAATCGACTTACTCGGCTAGGTGTTAGCAAAGCTGCCAATGCATCTGGGTTTGTCGGATGGCTCCGCGCTGTCTTCAATTGAGGTTTCCTCACCGTCGTATTCCGGAGTTTCGACGTATTCAGCCCCGAGCTTTGGAGATGTCTGGGAGAGGTGTGAGACAAGCCCTCCACCAGCCTTGGCCCCACCGAACATCGGGAGGGCCGAGAGGGGAACGCTTGACGCGCCGGTGGGGCCAGGGCTGCATGCCGGTGTTCGCTTGCCTCCGCCTCGACCTGTGCGACCTGTGCTGTCCGAGACCGCCTTGGCAGCCAGGTCAGCCATGACGGGAGCAAACCTTTCACCGGCTCTGCGCCCCGAAGCAGCTGACTCTGCAGACCAGGAGCTTTTCCTCGCTCACAGCGGTGTGAGCAGTGAGACGCACTCTTTTGTGGGCCTGCGCCAGCCCATGGCCCAATCGACCGTCCCTTCAGTCCCTCTTTCGCCACCATGTCTTGCCAGACGTTGCCCACCGGTATACCTCTGGGCGCCGTTTCCGGACAGCGAGCCAGACACAGGCTCCTTGCCGAGGCCGGAGAGCTTGGAAAGCGCAAGCTTGCTGGCTGAGGCGGCTGAGGCGGCTGAGCTGTGCAGAGGCTTGGACAATTTCCAGGCCGGCAGCGCGAGCCCTGAGAATTCTGAGATGGCTCCCAGCCCTGAAACACTCAAAGAACGGCCCTCCGATGCCGAGGCGGTCGTCGAAGTCGCCGATTTGCCCGCAAAGTCCGGGATGACAGTAAGCCTGGCTCCGGCACGGCGCCTGCGAGGCATCCGGCTGAGAGAGCCAGAGACGTTCCAAGTCCACGCCCCTCCGCGTGAGGGCCCACGGACAGAGCCGCAGGCAGCGCAGGCAGAGCCAGAAAGGACCTGGCCGTCTACTGCTTGCGAGAGTGCCGCAGGGCCACTGGATGCATGGTGTACATTCTTCGAGGATGCAGTGCCCGTCGTGTCCAGAAGGAGCACAGTTAATGGTAGCAAGACAAAGAGTTGGCGTGCTGCCCAAGTGGCTGCCCTGGCAGAAAGCCAGAATTTACGCCCTCCAAGAGAGTGTGTGGAGGATCTCGACTGGACACCGAGGTCAGAACTTCCGACGCAACATGCCGACCATGAGCATGGAGAATCTGTCCTGCCAACTTGTGACGGGGTGCATGCTGCGCGGGATACGAGCAGCGACAGCGACAGCGATTACTGGACGAGCAGCGCGCATCACAGGTTCGAATCAGAGTTCGTGGATTCTGTGCAGGATCAAGACTCGGAGCAGCACGGAAGACGGGCCCACCACCACGGCCCGGGTTCTGTAAGTTCTGGCAAAGCCAGCGCAAGTCCCAGGCTGAAGCGCGTGTTGGACTTGCGGGGTCTCCTGTCGCCTGGCAGCCGAAGGCGCTCAGGGAGGCCTCGGGTCACACTATCTCTGGATGCGAGTGGTGGGCCGTCCTGGCTCGGGGAGTCTCCAGCAAAACATGAGACGGAAGGCTCCTTGCGCTCCTGCCAAGGTACAAGTTGATTGGACTTCATCAAGGCAAAGTTGCTTACCAGAAGGCAGGCAAGTTTAAGCCACCTGCCACAAAGGGATCTTCAGTTCAGCCTTGAGCCACACCCTGGCCTTCCGTGCTATCAGAGCTGTGATAAGGCATGCCATCCGCAACTTGGACAAGTTTAGTTGAATGGGCTCGCCACGGACTTCGGAGATTGCAGCATGATTTGCAACGCAAGGATACTGGAGAGTCGGAGACAGGCCAGGCTCGGGAACCAGCACAGCATGAAAGCTGTGCTATTTCCGTCAAACATGCTTGTCGCAAATCCATGAAAGCCTCCGCCCCGAAAAGCACCTCAGGTGGCTTATTGACCTGGAAGGTCTCCGAGATGTGGATATTTGCAATGCGTATGCAGATGCGCAGAGCACCAGCTATCCAGGCTTTGGTTCTCTTGTTCCATTTTCGCCACCAGAGAGCCGCCTTCAGCCGTGAACGGCGGCTGCATGACAGCTGCAGCATTGCTGTATCATGTTTCGACTACAGGTGAGATCCGGCTTCAGTGGCACATCTGGGATTCAACCAGGCATTGTGACCGTGAAATGGTGTAGCATTTTCTGTCTGTGTGCGACTCTATTTGTCTCGGGAGGCAGCGTCACACTTTAGATAGTGGCTTATGCACGTTGGTGACACCATCCGTCATCGAAGTGGTCGGCCCGGGGCCTCTGAGTTCCGTTGCCAAACAGAGCCAAGCTGGCAGATGGCAGTGGTACCTTTGAGGTCGGGAGTCGCCAAAGGAAAACACAGCGATGAAGCTTACCTGCCACAGAAAGCCTGGAGGCCTCTAGGATTCTTTTTGCTAGCAAAAATATCTCAGGAACGGCAGCTACCACTTAGATGCTTGCCTGCAGAAGCACCAGCCGATTCCATGCCTTCTGTTGGTTTGGTCTGTTTTAGGTCGGGCTACATGCTGGCCAGCCGGCCTACATGAAGGCAGTCTCGGTCCATCGCGTCTCGTGACCTTGTGGTCTGCTCCGGTCTGTGCTGGCTCAGACTGACGGCAGCGGTCACGCGATCCGCTACTGGCCGCGAGAGGAGCGGTGGCTCATAGATCTAGATGGCTTGTTGCTCGGATGGCAAGGTTAGTGTTGAAGCCTTATCTTCCGTGTCTTTCGCTTCTCGTGCCTGCTTTGGAGTGCACCTGCATCAAAGGCGAGATACAGAGATCTGCAATGCTTATGCGGAAGCAGGTGGCCTCCTGGCGAACTCATGTGGCCTAATGCATCAGCTATATAGCTCTGTTTCGTGGGGCTTTGTCTCAGCACACCCGTGAAATATCTGGTGCTCCCGTCGCACTGAGGAACAGGAGCGCATATGCATCCTGGCCACCTGAATCTGGCTGCTCTGCTGAGCTTCAGACCCCTTCTAGCGGCAGCGCCAGGCTTGCAGGTCAGGTCAGCATGTGAGGTTTGGCACGTCTGGGAGACGAGCCGTGGGCGGCACCTCACGGATCCGGCGGTGCGTTCGCGGCACGGCTCAGATGCACTGAGTCGGTATGTTAATGTATGTTGCAGAGCTCAGCATCGAAAAGAAGCCCAGGTTCGTTGCACCGCACTTCGTGAGAATTTCTGGCCGGGACCCATACAAGGAAAATTCTACGATCAACGGCCACTTCCATGCATTGCAAGGCTTTGCGATCACAGCATGAGACAGTTGCAGGTATGTGGGATATCAGAGGGAGCCACGCAAACTAGGGTTGTGTTTGCTGATGTCGCTGGTCGTTGGTCACCGGTCACGATCTCACAGCTGAGGGGATTACGAGCTCGTAAAGATCGTGGAGGGCAAGCCAGCCTACAAGAAGGCTCCTGTTGTGCTTGTCAGGTGACAAGCATGCAATGAGTGACACAGCGGCAGGCGGATGCTGACCACGTGATTCGATTTTGGCCGGCAGAGGAGTGTTTCGGCATTGCTTCAGGTGGCTATTGCATTGACAGCTTTTTTGCAGCTCCACGCACAAAGAAGCAAGACGTCCGACATTGCCTTTCCGAACAGTGCCAAGCCTTATCATCGCCAGCATCGCCCTAAGCTCTCAGGCGATGGATCATTGACCTCGAAGCTGGCTCGGGGCTCAGCGAATTTATCCCCGCAGCCATAAGGGGCATCTCCTGTTTTGTGTTCAGGCTTTCATGGCGGAGATGTCGCAAACTCCTTCGCAGATGCCAAAGGTGTCTAGGAGGCATTGTTGTCTCATCCTGCGGCAGGCAGATGCGGCGTGCCATGCGATGCTGATAGCGGACTCAGGTGCAGAGAACCCTGGCAACAGCGAGTTGTGACTTGGCTCTTGGCAGTATGCCGGGTGGAGGACAGAGGCTAGCGAGGCCGCAGTTGTTCCTGAGGCTGTGGTATGTGTGGGAAACGAGTCGGGGCCGCCACGTCCCAGACGAAGATGTCATAGCCGACGCTGTGTGGCTCCCTCCCGTCGCTGGGACCAACATGTCCATGGGCCAGAGTTGCAGCTGCAGTGACCGTTGTCGGTTTTGCGTCCGCCCGGTCTGTGGACCCATGCGAAGGATTTCTGCGACTAGATATGTTGTTGCTGCCCAGGTGGATTGGTCCAAAGTGCCTGGAGTGTCCGACTGACGACAGCGCAATGAGCCTTGCTTGGACCCAATTCATTTCCGCTCACTTCCCAGAGAAGCACGCCAGCTTCGCTAACGTTTGATCCTGCTTGTGCCTTAACGAGCACATGGATAGTCGAAATTCGTGAAAGGTGTAGCAGGCTTCCTGCAAGCGCGTGACTTGCCATTTTACATTTGGGACAACTGCTCAGCTACATCTCTCAGATGCAAGAATTAAGTGACTCGTCCATGTCCATGAGACTTAGACCAGAGGATGTCAAAGAGTTCTGATTGCCATTCAATCGCGATTGCCTCTTAGCGGCTAAGCGACTTCGTTCAACCCGGGATCGAGTCACATAATGAGTAGTCGGCTGGGCATGCGCTGCAACTCCAGATGCCTGCACTTGACTGTCGTCCGCTATACCAGCTGCAAGCCTCTCATTCGAAGTTGCGTGCAGCCCAGCAAATCATACCTCTTCAGTGGTGCAGCATGAGGCTGTAAGAGATCGGGTCATCCTGGTCTTAGATCGGACTGTAGGCCCATGTCGGATGCCACGAAGCCTTTGGAACCTACTTGGAGTTACCAACCATCACCAACTTGCCGTTGGGCAGTTTCACATGAAGAGCGACCTTCATGCTCGACAGTGCTGGTATCGCTGAACATGCGCTGTGGGTGTATCGGAACTGTCATTCAGGTGGTGCCCGAATCGAAACCCGGCCCCAGCAGCCTGATGACATCATGAGATTCGTATTTAATCTCTTTATGCTTCAGGCTGCGCAATTGATAGGTCAGTTGCTGCGATCGCACGGCCGTCCCTGCCTCGTCGATGTTAGGGAAGTCAAGGCCTGTTAGGAGTGGACTGTCGACCGGTCATGGTAGCGGCCGTGTGCATTAGACTAGACCGCTACCAGTGCACCTCGCTCGAAGAGCCCGTGCTCCAAAAGTCACAGCCACGTTGCCCCGCTCCGTGTTGGTCGCAGCTTAGAGTGAGTGACATCTCGATCTCGACTATCAAAACAGAAGCAGTATAGCAACCGGGGCGCAGTAGTCTGGCTGCATAGAAGTGTTCTTCACCTAGGTAAAGACGGGAAGGGGGATTAGCCGAAGGCTTGCCGAACAGATCTGGGACTCTGCGACCTATCTCACAGTCTCCACGTATCTCCACGCTTCATGAGTTACGGGAGGGGGCCAGTTGTTCCAGGCCCTGGGGGCCAGGCCCTGCCATGACCTTGTGTCTTCTGCAGGTCGATCTCATGCCCTGACGGATTTTTGTCCGTTCCTACTTCTGTTTCTGGTCAAAGGCAGAGCATGCTGCTTGTATTGCCCAAACTCCATCCCGAACTGGAGCCATCTTGAAATCTTTCATGGTTCTGCCCCTACTAGACAGCACCGCATTGCAAGAATCGGGTTGGCGGCCTGACCCTGTTCTGCAGGCTCGCGGAGCTCGCCAATTCCAATTGTCCTGATTCTGGCTCTCGTTGTGGCCAGTGCTGACCGCATCGGCTTGGTCGAGCATCGTGTTGGAGTGTTAGTCCGTGTCCAAAGCAAGATGCGACTTTGTCAACAGCTGACTGCCCATCCCTCCTCAACCAGTCTTCCACGGCTTGCCGGGTGAAAGCAGCATTTGTAGATTTTACCCTGCCTCCAG